CCCCGTATACAAATTCACACATTGTGAGAAAAAGCAGACTAATAATTAAGGACACAGAAATAGTGCTAACACAATGAGACCAAAACATGCAAAATAAGAAAGAATCTAAAAATTATATTTGATGAAATTCTGAAACCTATCACGGAAGAATGGCTAAGGCAGTGATTTCAAATCAATTGGTGGTTTATTATAAACTTGGGTAGCAACACCCCTGAAGAAGAAGTATTTAACAATACAATGAGGAGGAACCATGAACATAAATAATCTCAACGCCTCTCATGTAATTAGGCTCCTCTCAATACTCGTTCCCAAGAAACGCATTCCACCTTGACTTTAGCGATGAAAATTAATGATTGGGATGGTTTCACATTTCCTTGATCAATTCCAACTAACTGATGTTGTCAATGTTCATGTTATCAACGTTCGTTCATACACGTCAGTACGTGGATGATCTCATCTCATAATCTGATCTAGTTGAAATTAGGGCACATTTTTGCATCAGTGTTCAATTTCCATATTTTCCAAACAAAGTTTTTTCCATAGATATACATACTTCAGTGGGTATTTTAAAATTCCCTCAGAAAAATTTTAAAAAAAGTTTCTCAAGAATATAATATATATTTTCAGTGGACAATTTCTTTATTTTACATGTAATGATATTTGTGAAAGGGAAATAAAATACTATTTTATTTCTTTACATGTTGGTCAGACTCGCAATTTATCTCGTCAGGATCACTATCGCAAAATCTTTTGACAGTTCAGTTGATACTACCTTGGGTACTGACATGCGCACCAATAAACACATTTCGCCAACCAGAAACATGTTCGCGCTTGTTAAGATGTCATGCGAGTTTAAGACGAAATGGCACGCGCGGAAGAGCCCAGAAATGACTCAAGTAAGCCTCTCCTACATCCATTTACGAGTTAAGATCACGTTCTAAATCCATATCCAAGCTGGAAAATGTTTGCCATGGCAACTCGAGCATTTAGGCTTACGAGTTAAGATCACGTTCTAAAACCGATCGTCGAGAAGAACTGCGTTTCAGACGCGTCCTCAAATAAAAACATATTGTTAATTTTCGGAAATTGAAACGTATTACTGGAAAGTCACTTGTCATAAAATGCAGCGTTTTGTGCTATAGCTTTACAAAACGTTTAGAGAAAAAAATGGAAATGATTTCGAGAAAATGTATCGTCTCATTGACTCAACACAGGCCAATATTTTTGGAAAATTGCCATATTTATGAGCAAACTTTGCTTTATTTGAGCAAAAGATTGAAGAAAATATTTGAAGCCATTGATGAGAAAATCTAGTTCATATACTTTAAAAAAAGTTACGATGTTACTGTAAAGCACGCGAAAACTATTTTGAATGAAATGAATGAAAAATAACATTATTTAAATATCTATTATTGAAGAACAGATTTCTAAGAAAAATAACAATTGCCATTATGTGGTTGTAGGATGGGATGCAAAAATGTTTAATTTTTACAATTTCTGTGACTACAGAGGTTTTACTGAAAACTACCATTCTGATAAGCGTACTATTCTCTATTAAAAAAACGAGAATGAAGATTCATGTAAATTACCTTCCAAAATTCAAAAATATAACTCAAACGATCCACTTTGAATTAGAGGGGCCGCGGCATTACCCAGATCGGGGAATATCGATATTCGATATTGGAAGAAATTCTGTGCACGGATTACGCGCTACTGTTGTTCACAGACAGATATCTTGAGACTAGTGGTGTTCTCATTAGTAAAAGTTTTACAATATTATAATATTCCATCTTGTTTTAATAGATAATATTACAATTTATGCCAAAGTATTCAGTGATGTTCTCGATCATTACAAAAATTGTAATCAAAAAAATTAGGGCTGTCTCTGGCAAAAATCTTTTTTATATATTTGTGGAGAATTGTCATGAGTTTTCTCAAAGTTACGGGACAACTGATATTTTGAAAAACGTTTAAAGTGACTTAAACATGAAATATTGAGGAATAGGTTGCATTAAGAAACCTATTATATAGGCGAGTTACAGGAGAGCGTGAGAAAAAAATTGAACTTTTGCAATTTTCGAAATTTCTCAAGTTTTAATAAAAATGTGCGGTTTCTGGACTTGGCCGATTCTAAAACAAAGGGATTTGACTTTAATTTGGAACTGAAGGTCCAAATTATTTTACTTAGAATACTGATATACATTTTTTTGTTATTTTTAGCTACAATACTACGTCAATAAATTACTCGAGGATTAAATTCTTGCAATATACAGCCAAAGCCGTTGTTTGAAAATAGCTCTTCACAGGTTTGTTTATAATGGTTTTAGTTTCTACAATTTTCTTACTAAAACATTCTTTTTCATATTACAGATCGGAATGGCTTCCTTCGGATCCGACAAATGTGGAGAAGGCAATGTTCCAAGCGTGTACACTAATGTCATGAAATATGTAGACTGGATTAAAAGTAATTTAGTGGATAGTTGAGAAGTGAATGTAATGTTCAAAATAAGTGCTTCGACCTCCTTTAACCATATTAAACTGATGTTTTTGAATATTTTGGCGACATTTTCATATGCTGTATCGATAAGTACTAGCGAAGTTTATTTATAACTCTTAGAATATTTTATAATGAATTTAGCGTGTAATCTACTTGCACACTAGTCAATAAATGATATTTTTATTACTAAAATCACCTAAACTAAAGATTCTTGCACTAGCTGATCCAGCCGTTTAACATTGAGGCATCGAGAGAAACAATGACATATATTCGAATTACGAAGAGAATTAATCCCCCAATAACGTTCCAACAATCATAATGGATAAATAAAACAGTCAATTGGATAAAGAGTAGAGATGTTTAGACAGTCGGTAGTAAAACATCTGCCATCAATGAATAGCAAACTCTGAACCTGTGATTCACGTAGCATTTCGATGGCTGTTATAACATACACAGTAAAATCTGTCTAAACCGGAACCTGCCTTAACAGGAAAATTTCTCCAGACCGTGAAGTTAAATGGCATTTTTACACAGAATAAATCGCAATCTCTCCAACGCGGAAACGGAACAGTTTTTCAGGTCCTGCAGGGAAAAAATCTTTATGAAACATAATTCTTATGAATTTAATGCAATTGGCAGAGACGAGAGATGTTCGTACTGAAATAAATGCATCTGCAAGTTTGTTTTAAATTCTCTATCCCTGTGACACGCGATTTAGTCGTGGCATCCGGACATAGAAGGAGAGGGGCTTCAGCGTAAATTCGACCTCAGGGTCGCTTGTCTCTCAAAGCGTAGGCCATAGGGGAATTCACTCTCTTCCGACTCTCCGAGCGTGGGAAGGCGTATGGGCATGGCTTGTATTCGCGCATCTCCCTCTCCCGGGTTGAAAATCATAACCCCTCGACCAGATACGCATTGCTGAAGGCCATGACAGGGTATCAGAAAGTCATAGTACTGTGTTGTGACGCATTGTGCGTTGAAAGAGTCAGCAAGACCATATACAGCCAGCTGACCATATACAGCCAGTAAGGTGTGCATTCTTCAACTCAAACTATTAATGAAGAGTGTTTAATATTCATTTATTGATGCTTTCTTTCATAAATACGTTGTATGTAATTGTGTTTTGATAATTACAATAAAGTCGTGTTTACTTTCAGGGCAGAAACGTCAATATCACAAGTGCCAAAAAATGGACAGCCTTGCATAAAACGGAAACCTTCCTAAACCGGAATTTGTGTCCCAATCGATTCTGGAGAAAGAAAAATACGTTGTAAAGTTTCCATTACAGTAAAAACGTCATTAATTTCGATAATTTACACAAATTTAATCAATGCTTGTAATACGTGACGTTAGAATGAGGTAATATCGTATCTTTCGGGCGACGTTATTACCTCAAAAATACCAAATTTTGAGATACCGTTATGTTAAAATTTGGTAATTTGTAATTGGATTGTTGGATTCCAAATCGCACTGTCAAACAATCCTTTTTTTAGCAGTTAAAAAAAGTTTAATAATGATGTACTAAATAACATACCATATATTTTTTAATTTCATAGGGATAAAATATAAATATTATAGTACCAGTTGACTTCAGCCACAAAAATGCTGCAGAGCAAAACCACACAAAATGGTTTTTCAAAAAGTAGCATGCACATTGCTGAAGGACAAATAAAATACTCTTATAACACTGTAATAAATTAAATAACACAAATAGTCTTCACAATTACTACTAAAACTTAGATATACAATGAACAACAGTTCTTTACATACCAAGAATATCAAAAATGTTGCTCAAAATATTACATAACAGAACATGTGAATAACAAATATTTAATGGCAGGTGACTTTTTCCTTGAACCTTTGCATAACATCCTCAGTGTTGTAAGCATTAATGCAGGGGGTACGAGACTATACAGAATAGCTTAATGAAATAATTGCATTTTTCAGTCCAATTCGAAACTTTCGTTTTTTGGATTTTCTGTTTGTTGATATCTAAAGAAACCATAGACATCTCTCACATGGCCGGAGGATAGTTTTCTTTCAATTCTAGTAAGCGATGGAAATAAGTAATATAGGTGCTTTTGGATAGGAGGTTTTTTTTTTTTCTTTGTATGTATAGGAAATTGGTAATATACACGAAAACTATTACAAAATCACAGGTTCAAATAATTTTCAACATTCAATGAACAATTAGCAAACTGCCTGAAGGGACGGTAATGCTTTTAACAGGTCATTACAAAGAGACAGTGATTTCAAAATACATAAAAGACTAGACAAAATCAGGAAAACGTCACTAGTGCACATAATAAGAGAATAGGTGTGTCAACGTACTGTCTTATTCTTGGGTCTTGTGAAACAGACTGAGGCTAATTACTCACTTCTCCATGGATGTATATCTATGTACCCAAGTCGCATCCAATACTGCAGCAGTCCAAAAATAAATATGAGAAGTGGTACAAAATCAAGTTGTGTATAACTTTTATAGCAAAAATTTTATAAAAACAAATAATATATCTAGTTTATTTTGGGAATATCATAAAGAAGCTCAATTTAGTCAAAAAAACCTGTATAAGTGGTGTTCTAACATTATACACACAACATTATTCACAAATATTATATTTATTTCAACACAAATTTGAGCATTTTTACATTACAAATATTATACCCACAAAATATTTACATGTAATTTCATTGATGCTAAGTAACACAATAACAAATAATTTCATTTATAGCAAAATAAATGGACGGAAATAGTTATTCTACCAATACAAAAAATACATCAATGCATTTTTAAGTTTCATTGTATAAAACATTTGTAAAAAGTTTCTGGAATTATAAAAATACAACTATAGTAGCAAACTTTACAAATATTGTTCCTAGTTCTACCGCATTTTCTTTCTGTTTTTGCTGAACTTCTTGGTTAGGACAACTTCACCAATTCTTCCACAAAATATAATGAAAGTTTCTTTGCTTGAACATTCATTAGGTTATAGAACAGAGAGAGAGAGAGAGAGAGAGCAATACATTTCTTGAGAATTCATTGAACAGGGGTGTCAATAGGATCACAATCTGGCAGTGATTTCTAAATTATTATCAATAAATACCCCAAAAATTTTCAATTATGAATGGGCAAGGAAGATAAGAAGGTGAAACTGTACAAAAGTACAGTGCAACTTAAACAATTCTTATCATTTCAAGAGATGCAAGAACAATGTAGAACAGTGTGCCAACTCCATATTTTTAATCAAAAACAGTTGTGTAAAATACTTAACTAGTTTGCAATTTGTTAACATCTGAAAATTTTGTTCCGAAGAATAACACGCAAAATATAAAGCCTCATCGTAATGACGAAAACTAACTCTCCTTTTCATCATAACTATGATCAGTTTGAAATACATATTATATTGTTACCCACCCGTACTCCCCATATAAATATACATACACTGTAGAAAGAGAGAGAGAACAAGAAATTAAAACAGAAATTTCAAAATAATGCACAGCAATTACCACATCATTCATATAACAGACTTAAGATTAATTAGAGGTATGTCTGATCTTTAAACAATTAATGAATAGTAATTAAATTTTTTTTATACAAGAATGCTATATTCTAGTTTACATTCACAAAATCCTTTCATAGTGGCAATAAGTAAAAACTATGTTACACAAACTTGCAAAATATGGTTAACAGAACAGTACCTACACAGGTACTGAATTTATAGCATAGTGAAACTCTCATGCTGTAATTTTTCTCAAGTTATCACATGGAAATTTATTGATAATAAAGATCTTATGTTCACATTAGTTGACATCCCTGCAAAATAGTTTAGTAGAATAATAGCAAAAAATACAAAATCTACCTCTACCTAGGCATACAATATTAAAATGAGTTACAAATTAAATGCCACATCAAATATTTAATACTAAATGTTTCTATGATACAAATTCTTTGTATGTATAAATCTTTATAATGTGTTATACATTAGTTTTATTACATTCTGGAAAATGTACTTTATTTTAGAAAGAAATAGCAATAGCAAATCTCTTCTATGAAGAGTAATATTGGCACTTGAACACATTCTCTCCTTGGCACAAAGATCCATCAACAAAATGCTGAAAGATTCATCACATTTCACAGCCATCACAAGCATTGAAACAGAAAATATCAATCAAAAGGGTTAAGTGGTGTTCTTTAAAACCATACACAAATAAATTGCACGTAAACCAGAAAATAGCTTACGTTCAACTTTCATTACAGTTTTAATTCTGAACCCCATTCATAGATGGGAACAGCTGATCTTTCAGTTAATTTATTATCAACCCACTGGTTTTCTATAATGAAAAACCCCTATCATATTTAACAACTGACCCAAAAGTGACTATGAACCATTCAAATTAAGTCCAACACAACATTCACCATATTTAACACTCAAATGACACAGTGTTTATTTCTCATATTAATAAAAGTAAGAAGTACTATTAAATGTTAGTCATTATAATCACCACCGTAATCACCATCTGTATCATAACCCTCTCCTTCTTCTACATGATTATCTGATGAGCAATTCTTACACCTGAAAATTCAAGCAAAATAAATTAAAATGGAAATAAATATTTAAAAATAATTAAGTTTTAACCACTACCACTAGAAAATAATAAAACTTAAAATTTAACTACCTGCTCTCGCTAATACCATAGTTAATACAAAGAGGACCAATACATTCACAACAACCATCATGAAACCAGCGATATGATGCTGATCCCATAGACTGGCAAGTGTCACTGCACTTTTTCCATGTGGTACACTCATTTATAAACACCACCGTACAATTTTTGGAATCCAAATCAGACGTAACATTTACATGTTGGTCTACACTTTCTGCAACAAGTAATTATAATTAATAGCCTATGTTAGTATTTTAATATCAGCAAGAAAATTTAATGAATAAAAATAAATAAATCAAAACATACGTGTGTGAAGCTCTAGGCTTTTATGCACATCAGGCACATAAGGCATCCGGTCAATTACATTAACATATGTATAGGTAATCCAACGATTATTAGGATCTGGTTCAGTGGTAAGTGCAGCAAAGAGGGATGGATACGAGTCATTGAATTCTTCAACATGGCTTTTCTTACTCAGAGCACTGCCAGTATCATTCGGCTTTGGGCACATATCTGGAAGTCATTAGAAAAAGATTACTCATCAGAAAAAATTGGAATGTTAATCAATTTGAGATAATTTAAACACCTATTCAACAACTTTTATCCAATAAAAATGTAAAACCTCATGTACATTTAAATAACAATATTTAACAATTAAAATATGATTTTGATAGATTATAAAAATAAGGTCTATATGCATTATTCTCAAAGTACATTAACAATCATGGATACCTACATTACTTATCTCACATCCTAAAAGTTAAGTTTACTTTACACCAAAGATTAAAACGAATATAATAATATACATAAAATCTTTATTTTGATAAAATTATGCCTATAAGATATTGATGTTCAAAACAATCTACATTTAATACTATACTGGTTATGCATTCAATACTTCAAAACCTGATTTGAACAGAACTCACCAACACATGAACAACACTCGCTATACAAGTGGCTAAGGCAACTAAAACATTCTCTGCAACATGAACAGTTCTTGAGGTCACATTTACAAGATTGGGTGAGCATGCACTTGCTCACAACACTTGCACATACTGCTTCATTACAACTTTCTACAGCTATAATGGCCATACAAATCATGGTTAAAACTGATATGCGCCACATTTTGCTGAAGACTGTAAAATGAAGGATGCATTATAAACCTTTGTGAGTCAGAACACAAATACATCGCTACAATACAACATTATGGATAACATTCATATTTTCATACAGAGATATTATTATGGAGGTACTTGCTGCTGGTTCCTACAGAATTGTAATTAGGATTCATAAACTATCACTATGTATGAAACATTTCTTATAGTATTTGATGTTATTACAATCAACTTGTACTACATTTACTAGTGTTCACTACAAAGACCTACAACTACCATGTAGTTATATTTCGATCTGGTTTCGAAAAAGTGAAGAAAAATATATTATTTCACTAAGCAATTATTAGTTATTTCCTTTAACCATTATCCATGTTTAATTAACAAATTCACATTCATGTGGTTGTGTTGCGTACAATGAAAGACAATTTTAAGAAGAACAGTAGCAGTAGTGTAAACATACAATTTCAAACGTCAAAATCACTCGTTGCGCCGTACTTCAAAATTCTTACGCCACCACACCGATGTTCGCAGAGCACGCTGGCGTAGTTGTTGACACTCATTGGCACATGGAAGTGGTTTTTCTCAGTCCTTGGATTTTTCAACCACACCCAGCTCTCCAAATATACTGTGATTGGCTGCTTTTCTAATGGCGTTTAACGCGTGAAAGATGAAGCGGGAATAAGCAGTAACTTAAATGTAGAAAATGTGTAGTACACGTGTGGTCTATAATAGCTTAATGTACAATGAAGTTACATAAACGGTTTAACTTTTTAATTGCGATTATCTGCAACCTTGATGACGCATAGATTTATTTTATTTTATTTTGTGTTAATATATATATATATATATATATATATATATATATATATAGTAATATATATATATATATTATATATAATATATATATAATATATATATATATATTTATACTTCCTTTTTGGATGCTCGGTATAGTCTCAAATTGTATGGGAACAGTTTTTTGCAGCAGAAAATATTTTACTTGAGACTTTTGTATTGAATTTAATCGTTTAATGCATGATCGAGCTTTCACTCTTGCTCTCGTTCATGAATCTACCGGCGCTGCGGGATCAGTGTAAGACAGATGGGAATTCACGGGAACGGGGGCATTCTTTGGTTTGAATGTGCATGTTTGAACTTCGTTTTTAACAAATTCAAGATCGATTGGATATCGTTATTGCCTGAAGGAAACTGCCGTTTGGTAGCATAAGCACTAATGAGTTAATTTAGTGATAATCTCCTTTTTTAAATTTTGTGCGTTTTTGTGAAGTTCGTTTCCGTGAAGCGACATTTAAAATTTCTTCAAAATACAAACGTGTACGAGCATAAAATGTGTTGGACAGACTCAATGTTGTTTTATGTAAATCACAGAGGCAGAAGACCAGATACTCGCAATCAAGTTAGACATTCCTAGTTGAGCGACAATTGTACCCTATAAGGTTTTAACAGTGATGTCTCCAATGTCTGCTCTTTAGAAATGTTGCTTAATCGTCTGAAACGAAATCCGCGCCCTCAACGGGCGGTAGTACAAGCCTGAAGTAGGTTAAGAGGGGAGTTTTTAAATGAATGCAGCCCGAGTAAATGCAAGAAATGTATCTGCAATGGAATTGAAGCAAATTTTTTAACTTTTAATTGTGAAATATTAATTTATTATTTTTATCTTCAAAAAATAAGTCAATCGTTAACAAAGTGCGAGCGGCAATGGTGGCTAGTACTTGGGTCGCAAAACCCAGAGGCCGAAATGCAGTTTGTGATACTATTCGTTCACGCGTGCTGATACATATGATTCGTTCACGCGCCAATATTTATGGAGAAAAAACTTATGTGGCAAACAGGAATCAAGAAAATGGAGGCATGGAAAACATTAAGGAAATATACACACCAAATTATTTTTAAAGTGTATTCGCATGAAATGCGTTGGTAATTTTGCATTGGACGGAATCAGGGATGTTTTATGTTAATGTGAGGGCAAAGGCCCGAGCTTCGTTTTCAATTGGAACTGTGTACCAAAGCGTCACTTTCCGCGGGAAAGTGAGTCGGCCGCGCACACAGTAGCTGCTCCGTGAGTGACACATTCTCGGAATTGACAGCGCGCGTGAAGAAATCCTACCATAAACTGCATT